TCTCAGTCTCTGGGGAAAAAAATCTTTTGTTTATAATGAGTGTTGCTAATCTGTATCTGCTTTAGGAATGAAAGGTAAGCAAAGTAAGAGCCATAAATAAGACTGGGATGCTTGGTTGTGAGCACTGAGAGACATCCATTTCTTTCTTTTCCATTCTGAGGTTCAAACATGCAAAATTTCAACTCTCTGCACTTCACAGAAGAAAGAGGTGCTAGAATTATTCTCTAGATCTCATTTTTTTCTTAACTTTGTCTTAAGTTAAAGACGATTTAAAGAAGTGCGTATTTACAGCTGTAATTAGACCTTGGACTTGCAAATGTGCTTGCTCAGATCATTCCAGTGCCACTGCAGAGCTCACATGTGAAAAGGGATTCCTGCCACTGAGTTCCACAGAGCTCCAAGCAGGAGGCAGCTCCACTGGTTGGCAATTCGCTGCTAAACAAGGCATTGCTTAGAAAAGGGCTAAATTTCAACTTCATTAGGGAACAATTGCTTCTCATATCCCAGTTATTACAAAAGCAGAGCATTAAAAAAAGGAATGCTGTTTCCAGGCTTGTGAAGAATCAGGATAGCAAGAAGCAGTGACAATCAGGAACTTCATAATGAAGACTCAACAGACAGGAGTAAAACTCATCAGGAATACACCTGCCTCTTCCTAGCAAGAAAAATCTACTTGGATTTTAGTGTGACCTTGTATTAGACTGATACAAAATCAGTTAGTCTCAGCTGAAAAATGAATTCAGGAAGGGGAATAAAAGATTACTAAAACCTGACATTCCCATAATGGATGTTTTGAGCCTGCACACATTGTTTTCATTTTTACAAAAATATGTTACAAGGCAAAGAGTGGTATTCATGCAATATCAGTTAATATAGTTTCTTAGAGTTTTCTTATGTTTTCTTGTAATCCTATTTCCTTTTCTATTGGCTATCTGTCAAAGAATAAAGCATGCTTACACAGCCTTGTGTATGACAAGTTGTAGTACAACGTTTGCAGCTTTGATATGTAGCTTGAATTTTAAGTTGAAAAATGTGGTCTAATTACACTTGGGATATCAAGACATGCTGAAGTACTTTATTCTTTCCTCCTTTTGTTTAATGAAACATTTCTGCTTTGAGCAAGGACAAGTTCAGTGCTGGAATACCTCCCCCCCATCTCCTTGCTCACAATATGTACAACTTGACCAGTTTTGGGTTGTGTCTGTGCTAAAAATTATTATTCCAGAATAAGTGGTTTTGACAAGAGTTCTGAAGCTCTGAGAGTGGAGATCCTGAAGGCAGCTGGATTTCTCACAGATATGGCAGCATTTACAGAAGCCATTAAACCATACTGCAGGTAAGAAAATTAATCCTTCTTTTAATTTAAGAACAAACTCTTTGGTATATTGGGAAATAATGGGACCAAATAGGTGGTGTCATATGAACAAGTTACTTGTGAGGTCAGTCAGAATATTAGTCAGTTGGTCACAGGCACACTCTTACTCTAGTTAATCTGAGATAGGTGAAGTCATCTTTTTCCATAGCCATAATACCAGACTGGCAGTGATGTTTGCTATCCTGGAAGGCAGAATGGAAAACTGCAGTGCTGCAATGTAAATGGATATAACAACCACATATGAATCCAAACTCCAAACTGACAATGCATATTTGAAAAAAAAAAAAAAAAAGAATTCTTTATATACAAGTTTGAAGTCTTTGCATTATGCATTTGATAATTTACTCAAAGCACTGGAGTTGGTAGAGTTGTCATAGCTGAAGCCAGAAGAGCTACTGGAAATTTTGAGCTAGAGAGACTTACATGGTTCTAAGTCCAAGTCTAGCTAAGATAAAATGTTAGTTAGGTGAAATGTTTGTGTTAGTTTGTGAACCTCAGCATTTCTCCACACATCAGAGGTCCATTGTAGAGTCTGAAACTTCTCCTGCCTGTTGTCACAAGGCATTTTATGGCTAGAGGTCTGTGCAAATTGTTTGTCCTGGAAACATAAGGTTCTTCATACCTGCTACTAGGTAAAAGTAGCAATTACCCTAAACCAGACTAAATCTAAAACTGTGTCTGTCCATTGTCCTTTGCATAGGCCCAGAGAAGGATGTGGTGGTGCCTACTGCATCCCTCACATCTCCTCCAGCCATTTCTGGAAATTTGAGTGATATAATTATTATGGAGAAGGAAACAGGAGCTACTCCATGAAAGTAAAAGGCTCAGCAATTTTACCAGCATGTTGTTAATGACAGTGTAGTGAGCATATATGGTTGAGTTTCCAGAGCTACATCCGTGTCATTTTTTCCCCACAGGCAGTGCCATCAGTTAAGTGACTGATAAAGGTCTGCTTCACATTTTTGTATCTTCAAAGATCTTCAAAGAAAAGATCCTTCACAAAAGAAGTACACCTTTGAAAAAGTCCTTCATGTTTTCTAATATTATTTTGATAAATGCTTGAAGCCATGAATTGAGCCTGAGATAGAAAAAGACTTGTATCTAAACAAATGGTTAAGGTTTGATGAGGTTGTAAGGGTTTAAAAACAGGAGATTATATGAGTGCCAGGCAAACATAACTACAGGCATCTCTATTTGCTCTACCCAGGATGATTGCAATTAGGAGTTTGTGAGAGTCAATTGCTCAAAGAACCTCACAGATTTTAAAAATAAATTATGAGGAAGGTTGCTGCCTTGTAAGAAGGAATATTAATTTATTCTACCTTGTGAAGTTGATTTGTTCACATGATATGATGGCAGGATATCTAAAAACATTTTACACATTTGTGTGACATTCTTGCACGGGCATAGAGAAGCTAAAATACTAGGAGATTTCAGAGCACTCTGCCTTTGCTTTATTTATGTGCTATACGTGATGTTTATCTTTCCACTTCGCTGGGATATAAAAGCACTTTTGGGTATTGATACAGTGGTATGGTCCATTCACTGATCCATAAAGAGTTTTTCCATGTGAAGCTCTGGAAATACTGTGGCTAATCTGAAGCTAAATACAATTCTGTATGGGCATAAACTACTGCTGGCATACAAAGATCTGACAGACTGTACATATCACATTTCATATACACATAGGCATTCTCTGATGTGATATTGCCTTTGTCATAAATGCCACAGACTGATCCAAGGATTACAGAATGAATAACATGAAGGTTAATTGAGCTTCCTTGCCCAAACTTGCTCGCTCCAGCTATGAAAATATAAATGAGGAACAAGAACAACAAAAACTCCTACCTAAAATAACCCATCAAATTCTAAATAGGCAAGGGAATCAAGAGAAATGAACCTTGCTATAGACCAAAATTATGGATGGAATAAATTCTATCATTTTGACATACTCAGAAAAATATCCTAATATAAACTCTCTTACATTTTGAATTCAGGAACTGTTCAATCTAATTCTATGCTTGGTACTGATGAGAGTTGTGGAAATGCTCTTGGGTGACAAAATAATAAATAGGATTTGGGCTAAAATTGGAAAATTACACCTAAACATCAAACTGAATAACTAACAGGCAGACAATGCAGCATATGCAAAGCTGGAGTAATGCTTTTATGGACACAAATAGTACATAAAAAGCTTAAAGCTACACTAAGCAGTATTTTCTCTGTATTACCTAAATTACATGTGCAAATACTTCATTTGTGCATTTGTGTTGATAAGTATGTGTTTGACTGTAAGGGAATTGCTTGCCTCTACTTTCAAAGTCTGACCCAGCTGATCTGCATCTTTGACTAAAAAAATCAATATAATATATATGTATATATAATACATGTATAGAT